AGACTTATAAGGTTCTTTTTACCCCCAAGTACAACTTGGTCAAAATTGTTCCTGCCATCCTTGAGCAGCATTCAATTCCCTATTGGAAATTCTTTCATCATGGAACATATTTCACTTTAAACATGGCATTGGCATGCAAGGCACACACACACATATATATATATATATATATATATATATATATATATATATATATATATATATATATAAAAAATGAAATTTTAATATATTAATTTTAAGAAAATCTATAACAAAGTGGGGGAAAGTCAAACAATTGATAGAATTCATTTACAAAACAAACAATACTTTACCTTTCCTAGATATCATGTTACAAAGACAATTGCCTAAAACTAAGTGTCCACCATAAATAAACTAATAAAAATGATCTCATAAGTTTCTACTCTCACCATAACAACAAAATAAAATCCAGAATAATCATCAGATTCTATTTAAGAGCCCTCAGAATTTGTAGCCCTCAATATTTACATAAAGAGGAGAAATACCTTGAAAATACTTTTAAGCTCCCTCCAATACCCTAATTATTTCATATCCAATTTGAAACAAAACGCTCATAAGATGTTTAAAAATAGAAGAATGAACCATCCTGCCAAACCGAATGAATCAAAATATAGAATAATCTACCCACCAACCATCACAAGTACAATTGAAATTAATTTATCTAAATTTAGCATAAAATTTGTTACAGCTATTTCTAAAACAATAAAAGACTTAATAGAAAATAAAATAAGCTAAAACTTAAAAGGGGAATTTATTCTATAACCTTTAATAATTGTCACAAGGAATACATAAGAGAAACCTCAAAGAATTTAAATAAAAGATTATATGAACACAAAAAGGATCTTTTACAAAGTAACACACTATATACATTAGTTTCTAACTGTAAAGAGTTTTACCATAATTTTGATTTTAAAAATGCTACTTTAATCGTTAGATGATCCAGAGTAAATTTACGTCTAGGTTCTTAGAACATTTTACCTTTCTTGACAGATTCTTCTCTTATCCTAATATGGGAAGATTTTATAACAAAAGTGATAAAAAGAAAAAGAAACTAAATAAAATCAACTAGACTACATACCAAAACAGATATTTAAAAAAAAAAAATTAAAAAGTAAACAATCACTTTAGCCCAATGTAGTCAAAAAGGATGAAATGTATCACACAAAAAAAACTTTCCACTTTACTGTATTAGTTGTAGTAATGCTAGTAACAAGGGTTGTTACTATAAAAAAAAAAAAAAAGTGCCTGCAGTAACACCTTACACAGAATAGAGTTTGTGCTAAAAGAGAAAGACATTGGTTTTCTACAGGGACAAAAACAAGTATTTGGAGAGCAGTTCCTGACCAGGAAAGAAATACACAATCTCCAGCAATCTTAAAACAAAGTTTATAGGTAACAAAAAGAAACCTTTCCTAATCTTTTAGATAGATTGTTCACTGCTGCTAGCAAAAATCATCCCCCAAAGATTTTCACCTCTAAAATCACTACCTTGTCGCATCCCATTTAAAATACTTATTTTGATTATTAGTGAAAATAATTCAGCCCAGAAATTGAAACAATATATTACTTAAATGTTTGAAACAAACATTCAATCTGTAAAAAATTTAAGTGACAAAAGTTAGAGAACTTAAATGATTTCACCATCCCCAACTTGTTAACTCAGCCAGAGATATGTCGTGGACATAGGATGTAAGTTTTTCTCAGACAACAGTCATAGAGTAGGAATATGTAAATTGGAAACTAACATCAGCAGCACTTGAAAGCTGCAGGTGTCCACAGGTGATGCAAGAATGGGATTTCTGGTCACTGACAAAAATGGTAACCACCCAACAAAAGGGGACATCACATCAAATCAGTTAATGCACCATAAGCATCAACCAACAAAGGTAACATGATTGCAATCACCTGGCCAGAGAACCTTACCACTGTGCCACTTGATCAGGTGAGTGATGTCCACAGGTATTTCAGACAATTAGTTTTGCATGTGGATGAAACTGCATAAAGGCTTTCAGACTGCTAGTAGAGTACTGTACCAGCTGATGGTTGCTCTGTAATGGTGTGTTTTAGAGGAGGGTGTTCTGCTGGAGTCTGCAAGGGCCATGATTAAAACTAGAGTCTTTGTTTTGACAGGTGTTAACATATAGATTTTCTTGCAAATCATTTGCACTTCTTTATGCCCACATATTTCCCAGAGGTGATGGTTTATTCAGAGTAAATGCAACCCCATTTGTATACAGGGAACACAAGATTGGTTCCAGCAAAACTTAGCTAACAGTGTATTCCCACCCATGACCATCAGATCTAAACCCCATTGAGCATCTCTATAGGACATTTTGCCAACCTCATTAAATTCCCTGCAGCCACACCAAACAAACAAATCAATTATGAAAAACCCTGGATAAAAACAACCTTCACACCTCATAGCAACCATGCAACATCATGGAACCACCATGTTTTTGTTTTTTATCATTTCACCCCAAGCAAGCAATAAAAACCACTAAGGTGCAAGAGATTACTAAGAGAAAGAAACAGAGGACAATAAAAGAACAGGATTCAAGGAGACGATTACATTGCATTTAAATTTTTGACGATCATACTTGAGTGGAAATCAAGAAAACCAAAAGAGAATTCCACAAGTGAGAGGCGCAAGAGAAGAAACTATTAGCATAGAACTTACTGTTACAACTAGCAATATCAACAGTGAAATTTGGAGACCTAGCTGCCAATCTCGTACTATGTTACTCAGGTGAAGAGAGAAGCTAGATGTTATTTGGTAATTAGGTTTCATTTTTTGGTAGTTCAGTTTAAAAAGAATGTCTTTGAAATTCAAATGTCACTAAAAACAGAATGAAACAAGGAAATATTCCCTAGTTTTATTTACTTCTGCTTCTAATGGAGAAATTAGTTGTTTTTTGAAGCCTCAAAAGTTCTAGTAAAATAAAAATAATATTTCATTCAGATGTCAACTCAATTTTCATGAGAAAAGGGAAAAGAAATTCAACCCATCTTCCCACTTAATATTTCGCTTCAGGAGTTTTATAATTTGACCCCTACATTTACCAACTGTTAACAAACCATATTCTCATAGGGATAGCCAATTTTTATTGTTTGATTAAATATTCCTGAAGCTAAGTCTCAGAAAGATGTCCGAATAGGTTTTTTTTCCTATTTAAAATGGTAACAAAGAGCTTTAGATAACAAACTAATATTTAATATGACTCTTTAATAAAACTTTATAAAACTTATTAAATTATACAGTTCAAGAATTATTAAATAACATTTACCATGTAATACTTGAATGCCTATATAATTTAAAGGAATAATTAATACAAAATACTCAAAGAACAAACATCTTCCCAATATCGGAAAATTGGTTATTGGAAGGTTTCCTGAACAATCTTGTAGCAATTGGATTTAGAAACAAAATATTATAAAACACAAATCATCATTAAATAAAAATTGTTGCAGAAATATTAATAAATGCTAATCATGATGTTGCACTTCTGAAGTGAGGTCCATCCCCCCCACCCCCACCCCCACCGCTCAACAATTAATGCTTATTGAATAGATTTATTCACAGAAGCACTTGAGCATCTAAAGTAAAAGTAAACAAACTCTTTCTTCCTAGAGCACTGCGAACATAGAAAGCCCACAAACAAGTTCAAAGGCCCAAACGTGAATGGTGCATAAAAAGACTGGGTTAGTAGACAAACAACAACACTGTGTGTGTGTATAAAAACGTAAGATTTGATCCTAAAGTAACATAAGTACCAGATAGTTTTAGCAGAAAAAGAAAAAAAAAAAATCAACTAGTATTAAATTAATATTTCAAACAGTTCATTCAAAACTAAAATTTTAATGGTCTTAATTTATTCTTCCATTTTTTTTTTTTTTTAAAGTTCAGACAATCTTGAACAAATGAGTATTCTGTTTCATAGCAAAATCAATCATGGAGAGAAATTAACATCTGTCAAGTTCAACTCGTAAACAACTGATGATGGTCATGTAGAGAGCAAAACAGCCTGCATCTCGAGTTCACTGATCAGCAGCGTAAGAGTTTAAATCAATGAAATCAACACGGAATCAGGTTAGAAGTAATAAACTGCTTCACTTTGATGACCAGAATGACTCCCACTGAGTTTTACTAGACAGATGTTACACAGAATTTGCATAGCTGAACTGCTATTTCTATTGTAAAGTTTTAACAAACAAGACTAGATTAAATTTCCTAGATTATTTTCTCTCATTTCTCTTGCTATTCTATGGCTCTCATAAACAGCATGGATCAAAAATGAAGAATAAATGCCTTCTGACTAGATTGGAATTATTAGAATGATCTAGAAGTCTTAACAGAAATAAAATGAAAAAGTTCTAGTCAAATATTACTAAAACTTATTGTTGTCTCTATTCCCATTAGTCTATGGAAATGGTAAACACTAAGGAATATATACAAGTTATATTTACTAATAAGGGAAACAGGGTGCAAAAGTAAGCTGAGAAAAGAAAGAGGTGGGGGTTAGAAGAAATACTGATAGAAAGTAAATTGTGAAAAGAGAACATTTACCAAGAATGTAAAGTAAGAATGGAATAAGGGTCAGTGACAGAGAGTTAAATTAAGGTTGGGGGGGGACAAGAAGACACACACTGTTAGAAAATTTATTAGTTTCCAAATAATATATATAATGTACAAAGCTGTAACAAAATCACAATTGCCGCCACCACCACTACCACCACCACCATGACTGCTACATAAAAACTGGTCATCAACACACAATAAGTAGAAGACATGCAAATGTAGTAAAAGTAGTAATAGTTATAAGCAAAGACGAAAATAGAATAAATATGAAAAAAAAAAAAAAAAAACAAAGAAAAAAATTAAGAGAAAGAGAGAAAAAAAGAAAACGCAAACATAAAAAGCTTAGAGTCATCCAGAGCAACAAACTGGAGACATTGTGTTGGAAAGGTAATATTATTTGTATTACATGTTCGAGACACTCTCAACTTGACACTGCGGCTCAAGGGTCCCGGCTGGGCCTCAGCTAACACAGGACTTGGACTCCCGCTGGAGTCTGCAAAGTAATGGTACTCACATCTCACTCAACTAAGCAACAAGCACAGCAAAGATAGATACACCATTTTTTTTTTAAAAACTCATAACAGAATGTATATATACATATGTGTGTGTGTGTGTGTATATGATATATGTATGTATGTATGAACATATCTATACTGTCAACTGCTGCTGCTGTATAAAAAAAAAAAGCCAAAACCCCATTTTCTATTGTCACTTCCATAACCAATGGAAATGAATATGGGAGTCAATAAATAGATGTCAGCCAACATCACAAAAGGATATTGAAAACTTCCTCCCTGGAATACCCTAATCACAAGTGTAAAAGAACTTACCCAGTAGGAAATGACCAAAGTTGGTCCAAACAAAATATGGCATAGCAGTATGCACGCAAGCATATTCCAATGTGATAAAAAAAAAAAAAAAAAAAAAAAAAACCTTCTGAAATGGTAGTCATAATTGTTTTGTTTTTTCTTTGCAAATATTGCAGTAACAGCAGCAGCAGCCAACTAAGTTAAAAAGAAAGAATCATACTGAAAGAGAAGAAGTAATTTATGTCGTCTCTCTTGAAAAATTAAACATGAGACTTGATTAACTGATTAACAACAGATCAAGAGCGATATTGTTAAAAGGGGTTACATCAGTTGTGATTTGGCTGAAGAAAAGAAAATCCCTTCTTTGGTGGGGGGAGGGGGAGAAAAGCTGAGCGCTATCAAAAGAAACAATGGTTGAGAACTGGTAATTACTGTGGCAGGAGAGACACACACACGCACAAACTCACACTGATGTAGCAAGGCAAGGAAAAGAAAGTGGAAGGGGTGGTTGTCAGAAAAAAAAAAAAAATCAAATAGTGGGAAAAGCAAGCAAATTTAACAGATCCTGCAGGGAGCCGCAGAGAAAAACTCACTCATGTTGTGTTACCAATCACAGCACGGGCAAAGAAGGTGGATGGCAGGCAAGGATAGGACTCAAAATGTCAGAGTGCAGAAACAAGCAAAAGGTTTTGTGAACACACAGAAAAAGATTAGCACAAAATCTATAAGACTCAGCAGCAAGTGAGATAAAAGAAATGACCAAAAGATGAAATGACCAGAAGGAGAAAAAGAATCATTGGCTGAAAATAATATAAGCATTCAATAAGAACATTCCCCACCCCAACCTCTTCAAAGTTTTGCTTTGTCTTTAGAGTTCTTAGCTGCCATATTCTGGAGATCTTGTGCAAGTTTTATAAAGACATTAGTAACTACCTGGTGGTCACAAAAGTATGGGTAAGGTTGAAGATGAAGAGATTCTCAACTGGCACATCAAGTCAGTCCTACAACACATATTCCAAGGTAGACAGAATATAAGATCCAAATATCAATAGGTCAAGACCTTATAGAAACGATAAAAAAACTGGCATAGATAGAAATAAGTGGGTGGGGGGATACTAATGACATAGTAGCAGCAGTGCAACACCATAGGGTAAAGAGACAAAATAGAGTTTGGGAGAGTGAGTAAGGAAAACAAGGTTAAAACAGTTAAATCCAGCAGAAGTGATCATAAAATGATCATCAGAAGAAAACAGTATAGGCAATAAAAGAAAAAAAAAAAAGAGATAGAGAGAAATACAATTTCTTTAAAGGTTCTCAAGACCACAAGAAAAAACAAAACTCAAAAATAAAATGGTCAAGAGAATAACAAAGCAGCAAAAGATTAAACAGGAGAGGAAAAGAGAAAAATAAATAAAATGAAAGATTAGATATCTTCTATCACCAGTGAAATGGTTTAAAAAGAACAATCCATAACTTTGCATGACAAAGAACATGGGGATAATAATGTAAGAGAAAAAAATTGAATATACAAAAATACTTTACTGAAATCAAGCAACAAGGTCTGTACTTAATTTTGTATTACATGTTTCCAATTTACAGGAGTTAACACTTATTTTTATTTGAATACTTTCAACCATTTGCAGTTATCAGAAACATTAATGTCATCAGTTATAATAGAGAATGTTCTTTGTTAGTTCTATCTTGGAATGTCTTTGGTTTGGTTTGATTTATGGCATATCAACACCTCAATGGGTTATTTAATGCCGACAAGATTTTTATTGCTGCTAATATTTTTTTTTCCAAAAATGTATTATTGGTAAAAATTTTTCAAAACAAGTATTGCTGTTATTAAAATTTATTTTTATAATTACATAGTGTTTTAACTCCTTTTTTTGGGGGGAGGGGCTAACCATTTGCCCATAGCTGGGACCCTAACAGGTGCTACCACCCCGGGTCAGGGTGAACCTGGGTACGCTAGCAATTAAGAGGTGGTTTCACACTCCTCAAAACCTTCTGATCAAAGGCCTTGCTGTCGGATGTAGTTTATCATCTTACCCAGGACACGGAATGTCTTTGGAAATGTGCAAGTAATGTCTTAATGTGTGGGAATGATTTGTAATTACATGTAAAAGATATTCTTTACTTTTCTTTTTAAATCTGGATGCATAACAGTTTACACACAAACAGGAAAAATGTAAAAATTAAATAGATCTTGTCAATCAATTTTAATAAAGCCTGTTTAAATTAATTCTTGCTGCTTATGTATATTATATATATGTGTGTGTGTGTGTGCGTGAGTGAGAGAGAGAAAGAGAGAGAGAGATACTATCTCTGAAACAGCAGGCTCAGAAGAGTTCCTGAAATGTGTACTAGTGGTAGTAGCAGTAGTAACATGCAGCAGAAAGCATCAGATTAGTAGCAAGGTGGAAGAGGTCAGCCACAAAACTCATGGTTTTGGGGGTTTTATTAGATACCCACCACCTAGTTATAGAGATTATCAATTAGTGCAGCAATAGAAAGGGACAGAAGACCAAAAAAAAAAAAAAAAAAAAGACAGAAGCACTGTCGGTGTTTGCATTAGATGAAAAGAGAAAAAAGAAAAAAAGAATGACCAGTGAGTAGCAGCACTGACCAAAGAGACTGATGTAACCCTGATGGAGAGGCAAATGGAAACATCTCTCAAGAGGTCAAAGGGGAAAGGATTTCAGTATAAGAGATTAACAACTGATCAGTGAAAACTAGGAAAGAAACAAGTGTTAAGGATAAAAAAAAAAAAAAAAAAAAAAGAGAGAAAATGGAAATTATACCTTCTTTCTTTTGTCTTTTATCCACTTCCAGTGAACTATCTTTTTTGTTAACTGTTTCAGGAGACAAAGGACGAGGAACAGGCAGGCAGGACAAGTCCGGTTCCACAAACTCTTTTGGACCTGGAATTGAAAGAAAAGCAAATTATACATAATACACCCAGCTGTCATTCTTTCTTTTATATATATATATATATATATATATATATATATATATAAAAACAGCACCATATTGAAACAATAACAAAGATTTTTTTTTTTTTAAATACTTTGTCAAGATTTACATATTAATAAAATTCATTTTTGTCTGTGAGCAAACAGTTGAAATTTAAAATGATTCAGCAGCAAGAAAAATGTTCTTTAGGCCTTTAAAAAGAAAAAGATGTTCATGTCTACCATGAATCTGCAAACAAAACCAGTTTGATGTTACAAGCAATAAAATGCATTAGTTTTAGAAACATTCACTTGTAATAATCTTCGTGGCAATGTGAGATGGTAGCCATCATCATCGTAGTAATGGCAAGTGGTAATCGTCGTCATCGTCATTGTGGCAATGCAGGCTGGTAGCTGCCATCCTTCTGGCATTTCCAGGTGGTAGCCATCATCAGGAAATGAAGCATGGAATCTAAAAACATTCCACTATTCCTACTCATTTACCTGGTTTCATTTATGCATTTTGAATCAACACCCCACTAAAACTAAAGTGTATACTTTAATTCCTTATAAACAGCAGAATAACAGCACTTCCCACAAAGAATAACTTATCGAATCAATTTCACTTAGCAAGCTGTAATTAATTCTATAGTCATGCCAATCACATTACATTTAGCCATTTGACATCCTACTAAGAAAGAAGCAAATTATTGTTGTTGTTTTTTGTTTTTCATTCCTCCAAGTGACTTACCTGGTTTTTCCAGACCTGTAGACTTGGATTTGATAAATGTTTCTATCATTTTGTGGACTGTCATTTGATCACAGTTACTTCGGAACTCTGTATGCACCTGACAAAAAAAAAAAAAAAAAAAAAAAAAAAAGACAGTAAAAGATTTGAAATTTAGATCAAGAGTAAAATTTCTCAGCAAATAAAATACAACCATTTCAGAACACAGAACCAGCAAACAATTTTAAGTGTTGCCATATTCAATTGATATGACTATCAATTATGAATAATTAATAAATACAGCAACATTTTACTTTAGGACTGACAGTTTGGATCGCCATCTTTGTAGACAAGAGTTCTATCCATATCAAAGTTAATCACAAGCTTGAGGAAAAAAAATGATGGCAAATCCTGGACTCAAATTGTCATATGATCATTCAGAAAGCTCTTTGCAGGAAAGTCTATAACTTTTCATTCTTAAAATCTGACAGAATAATAATAAATCACTTGAAGATGATGGTATCAAAGCTTTAATAAATGGCTATCACAAATGAAAGGCTCATAACTAGCAAAGCTACTGCACCTCCAGTTTCCCTTTTCAATGTCAGATTTCACAATTACTAAAATGTACAAAAAATAAACCTTACTTGTTTTATGATAAACACCAATAGTATTAAATGTTCTAATTCAACACAGTATTTGTGTATGCTATATCTCTTTACGATGTGGACAAACATGATTCTCCATAACTTCCTGGCATTTGCTTCTCAAAGTAACTTCACTCTTTACCAGACTTGTTCTTATTCTGCCATCCATTCACAGGACCTCATTACTAATTTTCCTGACTTCAGTATAACCTGCAAGTTTTAGATTCTCTAGGCTACCTTTCCTCATTATGAATCTTTCTGATTGTATATACAAGTTTCCTTGTAGTTCCTAAGTTTTTATTGTTCCCATGTTCTGCCCATGTTATTCTCAGTATTCATTGCTACAACCACATCTGTCATTTCAAGTCTCTTTTTCATCTGAGTAAATTGTCCAGAATTCACTGCCATGGAAAAGATTTTATATTACATAGCCGTCAATACCCTTTCCTCCGTTTCTAATTAATCCTTCCTATCTTAGAATTTTTAGCTTCTGGAAAGCCCATCTACTATTCTTATGTAACTCCTGATTTCTGCATCACATTTTCTAGAGTGCGTTATAGTTAAATTGTTGTAACTGATTGGTCCAACGCCCCTAATATGTAGCTCACACCTTGGTCTCTCTCTGTTGCTGATAAGCATGCGTTCTATATCATCTAAGAGTTCTTTCAGTTTCCTTCTGAGTTTGTCATAAGTTTCATTGATGGAGCTCACATTCATTTGCACCTGGCATCTTTGGTATTGCTATGAAGATAGATCTCAGGTTTTCCAGTATTTCACCACTGTCATATATTTCCCTTATTATTTTGGTAATATTATTGATCCCAAAATTGACTAAGGCTAACAGCATCTCTATTACAACCCCATCTGGTTCTGCTGCTTTGTTCATCTTATCCAGTGTTAATCTTACCTCAAATTTTAATACTACAGGTCGTTACAGGTTTCTATGCATTGAACATTTTGCACCTCTGTTGTCATGGAAGATTTCCAATGTATTTGTTCCATTTTTGTAATATCCATTACAATTATTCTTTTATTATATTTTATGCATCCTGTTGAAGAGCATATTTTCTGTACTGCTATTTCTTTTATCTTTTTATACTATGTTTATATTATGTAGTACTTCTATCTCTGTACACATGTCAGTATCCTACATCTCTTGTCTATCTAATATTAGTCCTACTCCTCTTTCATTTCTCTTTTGCCTGCATATGATTCTGTGTTCATCGTTTATGAAATCCCCATTGTTTATCTATCTAGTTTCACATACGCCTTTCCATTCTCTGCTTTATATATTTTTTTAACTTTCCCACATTGGCATGGAGTCCTAACATTCTATGTTATAATTATGATTTTGTCTTTACCTGACTTCTCACCTGGTTAGGAGAGACATGTGCAACAGACATCACCTGACCAATATTAGAAATTCTTAAAATCAAAGCAAACATTTGAAGGAAGACAGCAAGAAAACCTAGTATTATGACCATAACATGCAGTAGAAAAGTACATATACAGACATAGAATTACCATAAATTCAAGATTCACATATCTCTCTCTTTACTCTCTTAGTATTTACATAATTAGTTGCTTATTTTTTAAATTAGAAACCTATTAACCATTGCTCTACAGCAGACACGCTCCCCTCTTATTAGTCTGAATCTGCTAATTAATAGGTGGTGGTGATGTTGCAATTCTTCACATTGACAGGGTTGTCCAAACCAAAAAAGGTTCATCACAATCTGCATGCACACCCATCAGCAAAATCAGAATAACACTATTCGCATTCACTTTTTAGTACTTATAGCATCCCATTTGCAATGCAAATTAGTCAGTACAACCACTGCTATTCAAATGCGTCAGTAGTACCACCTACAATAATTAATCACCGTTTCTCCAAACAGCCAATCCAACAAGAGAAGACAACCCATCTAGTGGCAAGCACCACTCAAGCTCAAGGGAGCAAACTAGGGGAAAAACAATTCACTTGCCCCACACCAAATCCAGAGTCTCTTGCCCATTTGGCTCATTTCATTCTGCAATGAGCAACGAACAAAATAGCAACTTTAAGAATTATAATAGAATATATGGCCATGGCATTGATATATCTCTAACATTTACTTTTACATGCAAGACAAAACAAAAATGTCTCTATAAAAGAGTAGGATGAATCATGAGAGTAAAGCGAAAGAAATCGAGCAGGACAAATTTTAGTCTCATTTGAAGTCTTTCATAATTGTTATAGTATTCACATAAAAATTTAATAAAGCTTAAATGTGACCAATCTTAAATTTGTTTTAGACAGAGAAAGTGTGTCATTATTAAGAAATAGATAATAAAAATAAAACTCATACCTGGCCTAACAAGATATGTTCATTCTCCCAGGCCTTGGAATATGTATCAATAAAATCTTTCATTTGACTGACATGTTCTTCTTCCAGTTGTTGAAATTGCTGGCAGGGGGGAAAAATATATTTAAAAAATTAAAAATATTCATTCAATAAAGGGTGGAGAAGAAACAAATTTTTAGCCTTGCTTAATAACTCAATGTAATGTTCAAGGTTTCCAGTAAATATGAGAACTATTCATTCTATCAAAATAAATCAAATTTGCTTGGAGATTAATTTTCCAGCAAAAAGGAAACATAAAACTTACATCGCAAGATATAGACATTTTTCTTTCAAATTCATTTCTGACTTCAGCATATTTGTCAACAAGACTCCGATATTCATCACCTAGCAAAAAAAAAAAAAAAAAATTAAAGCACACAGTAATCATAATGAAAAGAAAAACATTTCTTTAATATAATGGCTCAATGATGGGTAGATCTTTCATCAAGAGAAGTATATTGATTTGATGCGGGGGGAGATGAGAAGGAGGATTCATGTGAGTAAAGAGAGAGAAATCTGGCAGGACAAATATTAGTCTTATTTGAAATCTTTCATAATCATTATAATATTCACATAAAAATTAAAGGTCTTCATTTAAAAAAAAAAAAAAAAAATGAAGAATGAAGAAACAAAAAATCTGCATTCAAATTTATAAATTTTTAGGTGACTTGTCATAAGCAAACTTCAATTCTTATGGTTTACCTAACATTGCTTAGTTTATGCAAGTCTGTATTTCACTTGAAAACATTTGATAAAGTTATTTGACTGTAGATAGTAAAAAAAAAAAAAAAAAAACTAGCAGCATTAATTGCAAAGTATTAAAAGACAACAAAAATGATGACACATCTACTTTTAGACTAAATTAGCTTTGAGGAAACATCAGTTCTTAAATCAAAATCATTACAATGCATGAAAAGCCAGAAAGAGAAAATAAAATTTGATATCAACATTTGTAGAAAGAAAAATTAAAACCAATGTGGGTATATTCTCTAGACTAGGGGTGGGCAAACTTTTTTTCATAGAGGTTCATATTATTGTTGGCCTTATGCAAAGCAGGCAACATCACAATAAAAACAAGTTTCACAACAATATAAATAATCATATATGCACATGTTGGTGTTACATTAATTTGCTTATTTGACATTTTGTGAACAGGTTACACAAATTAGTTTCATACTTAAGACATTTATTACTATTAAGGATATTTGTGCAGTAGAAAATGTTTTTTATAATCAGGATTCAGTTTACTGGTTGATGTATGCAAGACAGATTGCAGATTCAAATCTGTTAGCTGAAACCTATTATGTTAACAAAAATAAAATAAATATTAAATGTATATGGTTTTTGTCTTATCTTTTTTTCCTGTTTGTTATTTTGTACAACAAAAAAGGAAAAAAAATAGAAAAAAATATTTTCAATGTTTGTTGTGCACTTGTCGGCCACATATCATCATCAGACAGGCCACACATGATGATCATGACTGTAGCTCACCCAGCCTTGCTCTAGAACTTAGAGAAACTTACTTGCTTTTTTGAATTTGCTCTCAGCCTGAAAACAAAAGAATTTCAAATTAGTAGATCAGAATAGATTTAGAAAAAATAAAACAAAACTAACAATTCTGTTAAAGTCCAATTTCAGACTTAAATCACCAAGTAAATTTATTTACCAGAAAATTTTAAAAAATAAAATCTGAAAAAAACTTTTCTAAGTAAAATTAACAGAATGCAACTGACTGTGTTAATATTTTGATATTTATTTATAAGGTTTAACATTATATTCTAAAATTATAAAGTGTAATATTTAATTAAAAAATCTTACCTTTTGATGTAATGGAGAAGTTTTCTATTATTTTATTTTCTGTTGAAAACATAATCATTAATATTTGAAAAATTATTTGCCTTTTTTTTTCAAACTTGGTCAAATTTAACCTCTGTGTACAGAGAATAGAATCCTTTAAAAAAACTTATTACTTAAATGCCTTACTCAGTTGTATGTACCTTATGATAAAACTTTAAGATTCAGTGAACTTCAGATTAATGATTCACTGAAAAAAAGATCTATAATAGTGAGGGACATAAAAGCAATTAGACTAATTAGAACCATCAATAGACACATTTCCTCCACACTGACCTTTTCCGTGTCTTTCTGGGAAGCACCATCTCTCTTGAGCCGTTCCAGTTCAGATACTCGGGTGTGATATAATTCTTTGGCCTAAAGAAATAAAATTAAAAAGGAAAAAGGTCAAGAAAAAAAAACTTCCAAGTAAAAAAAAAAAGCAACTGACACTTTGATACTTTGTGTGTAAAACTAGAAAATGAGAAATATATTCACCTCAAGTATTTCAATCAACATGTTCTCCAGGGAATTTTCAAGTTATCTATTACAGTTGATAAGCATTTTAAACTCAGAAACATTAAACTAACAGAAGAACACTGTTCAGCTAACAAGTCAAATATGGAAAAGTAGAGGAGAGTACTTGTTAGGAACTTACTTTGTGAAGAGCAGTTGTAGTTTGTTGAATAGACTGCACAACTTCCAGAGTTGCAGATTCCGTTTCTTTCATCTTAGAGAGAAGAGAAACAAAAAAAAAAAAAAAAAAAAAAAGAAGAAAGTCAACAGTAGCAACAACAAAACTATCTAAACTGACTGACTAAAAAATAAATTTATTACAATTGACAAGAACTTGTTAAATAGCATATAGAAAAATAAAGTTATTTTCTTTATTATACTCTTGTTATGAACGTGGGCAACGTTTTTCACATTGGCAGTGGAAGTCAGGATTGGCTTATCTTGTCTTATTTTAAACAGAATTAATTTTCAGTTATAAAAATGGAGGGACATTTAACAAAAAATGTATTTAAAATCCAGTGAAATATTAGCCTTCCCCTCCATACATATTATTCTTATAAAAATCCCATTTTGGTACATTCATTTTCCCAGAAATTCTTCTTTCCTAATATCTGATCTTTTTGACACTTGATCTATTCCATCATTCCGGGGGATTTTAGGGTTAGAGAATTTAAAAGTACCATTTACAATGCATTGTTTACCTGTTCAACTATTGACTTACATTCTTATGTCGTTTGTGTTGTTCTTCATTGTAACGGACAACATCTTTGATGAGTTCAGACCATGAATAGACCAACTGCATATGTAAAGTGGCCAGTTTTTCCACCAGAGACTTCAACAAATTCCAAAATGGAGAAAATGTCCTAAAAAAAAAAAAAAAAAAAAAAAAAATTAAAAAAATTAAATAAATAAAAAAAAAAAATTAAAAAAAAAATTAAAAAAAAATAAAATTCTCTAGAATTATTCCCTTTGAAGTCAGTAAAACTTGCATAAAGGTCACTGTCTTTGCCAGTTTCAAGTTGAGGTGCTCAGTTTTATTTTGGAATTCAAACTTTGGCAAGGGTGTTGCCTTTACAGGAAAAAGATGACTTGCCTTAAGCTCCATTTATTCTTTGTACAGTGATAATGATAGCCACATTTATTTCCCCAAATCCTTTTATTCATCTTTAATTGTATACATGATGAGGGCAAAAAGCAAGAAAAATAAGACTGCAAAGATGAATAAAGAGCAACAATTTTACTGACTGCATCAGAATGAAATTCAACACTAGTTTGGGAGTGTTGGGCAGCAAGATGTCAACTTTATATAAAAGTGAAAAGAATTTACAATAATAAAGATAATTAAAAGAAAATTGACAGAAATTTCACACAAATGGCCAGAGAACAAAAACATTCCATCAAATTTATGAAAAACACAAATTCTGTGATACAGTATCCCAAGAAGAATTTAGTCACAAATCCTAAATGAGAAGCAATCCTCCAGGATTTACTATTGATAAAAAATACATTTTAATAAATACACAAAAAACAAAAAGGAAACACACCTAATATTCTTTCTTGATATTTATAAAAATTAAATCTATCAGGAAAATCAATATTTCAATTGAAAAAATAGAAATTAGCCATGCTTTCCCCCATTCTATCAATTCTGGAATTTTAAAATATGTGAATGAAACAATGACAAATAATCTCAACAATCAAATACAACTGTTGTCAGACTTTCATTCTTCATTTCAATGCACTTAATAAATGAATTTTATTATTCAATTTACAATAAATACCTTTTTCTTTTTAACATGAGCCTTCTTGAAATAACAAAAACCTTTTTAGTATATGTTAAATCTCTCTAAATGTTCATATATTTAAGAAAATATAAAATCTTTAGAGATCTTTGATGTGGAAAAAATATCTAACAAATCATCTTCATAATATCTCCTCTATCTTAGTTTTTAAAATTAGAAATTTGTTTAATTATCCTCTACTTAATTTGTTCTTAAAAAATGTCTAGACTATAAGTGGATATTTTTTTTAAATAATGCAGTAATCAGTATAATTAATTATAAAAAACAAAGACTTGGTAGTTAGTTGGAATTTAGATCAAAACTAATTCTTTGTTTTGAGAGAAAACATTGATTACAAAGTTCGTCATTTAATAAGGTAGAAGTTTATATTTTAAAATTGATTATTGAGCAACCTGCTCGAGATTTTTTTTTCTATGAACATTTCTACTCAATTATTTGTATTTGTTAAATTGCTCTGGGACATTCTCAAAAAATGTTACTTTATAAATCAAGCAAATAAAACTGAATGGCCATTGAAAAGTGTAAAAAAGGATTCGATGAAGGATACAAATAATGTATTACATAGACCAAATTGATATCATACACAAGTTTAAAAATACATTCAAATACATATGTATATTTACTGCTACTACTCCTTGAGTAGTAATTATGAGAGAGTAGTTTACCCAAGTGCACACTTACACACTCTTCACCAAACAGTACAGTATGTCAGTGATAGAGAGAGATAGAACTGGATTCACACACTGAGGTAGACGTAAACACAAAGGTAGGCTTGTTTTATGACTGAAGTTAGCTGATCTGATTAGTGGTTTATGTGGTTGCATATTTCCAATCAGCAGCAGTGGTGCCACTGGAACACAAAAGTCATTATTTTGAATACTGATTAAAAAGAAGTGACTACTTCAAAACTGAGAGTAATATCTGGCATCAAGTTATCACTAGAATATCACACAGATTCCTCATACATACATATATATATACACAAACATATATTGCTAAATATAACAGACAATGAATGCCTATTATGTCTGATCACGAGCTGTTCTAAAGTTTGTATGTTTGCTTTAATTTTGGGTGAAAATAAAGACAAAAATTGTCCAACATTTGGATATTTTTTTTATTAAGTTGGTCCTTGATCTTAGCTTTCAGCTCACATGAGCCACCCTCAGAGTGGTTATATGGACATTTAAACAAAGATATTCATTATCGGAGAAGACATTTTGTTATGTTGACATAGAAGATTGCTATGTCATGATAACAGTCACAGAATAGCAGAAACAGTTCATAAGTTCAAGTTGCAGTTCTATGATGTTGTACCATGTGAGAGGCCAAAATATTAACAGAACCATATGTCTAGATGGAATGTAATGTTATGTGACAAGTTTAAAATGTTTATATATATATATATATATATATATATATATATACACACACACACACACACACCAACACAAACAGGGTGATTCATAGATTAATATATTAAGAACTTCTCCACTTACATCTATAAACTTTATATATTTTATCTTAAAATAGTTCATGATAGAGAAAAGAAAAAAAATTGTTTAAAAACAAAATCTTTTTATTTCAGATGAATCAATGAAGTTTTAAAATAAATAAAAAGAAATGCCCATAAAATCTATGGCAACAAAGTTTTAAGCATCAAAAAGCAACAGAGAAACCAGAAAAAAAATCCCAATACATATGAAGAAGGAAACTTGTACATTAGAATACATAAATAACTTTTCATAATACATTGTTTTGGTGCATGAAACAGATTTGCAAAAAGTTGCTGTGGCTGAGAGTATAAGTGCTTTATATATATATATATATATATATATATATATATATATATATATATATATATATATATAATATATATATTAAAAGACATTCATTAATGTGAATAGTTCCCCCCCACCACCACCACCACCACACACTTACAGACTCTTCCCAACAGAAACAACATGATTATCTCCTTCCTCTGCCAACTCAGTGAAGGTTGGTTGGTTCAAATTTCAGTTTTTAAAAAATTCCCGACATCACCATCCCTTCCTTCCTTCCAAGCCGCTTATATAGGATAGTCATAGACAATAGCTATATGCCCCAATGCTTTCAGTTTTAACACAACTGAAATTCTTCAATTTGAGTTTAAATATTAGTAAACTTTAAATGAACATTGATTTTATTGTCAATGCCTTGAATAAAAAAAAATGAAAATGGAAATAGTTTTACTTCCTCATTAAAGACTAAAAGAGCTATTAGTAGGAAAGTACAAAATCACAGACATGCTAACTAGTCACACTGAAAGACTACAATGTTTGCAATAAAATCTGGTAGGAAACAAGACTAAGAAACTAGTACAAAAAAAAAAAAAAAAAAAAGAGAGATTCCTAATTATTCAGACTAATATCTACCTACCTTGTTTCAAACAGAATATTTCAATGTCTCCAATCATCTTCAGGTAATATTGCATAGGAGTTGTCATCTTTCCTATAGAAAAGCTAAACAATTGACTCTAAACATTTAAACCAGAGGGGAGAAATAAACAAAACCAGGACAAGAAAGTTTTTTTTTCTTTTTTGTTGGAATAAAATTCATTCAATAATAAACTAAAACAGTGTTCTTTTATGAAGAAAATAAAATGAGAACGAAAAGTCAAGAAACAAAGAAGGAGATGTTAAGTCGTTGGTAAATTGACAAGCACAACTAAAAAGCAAATGAAACTAAAAAATGCAAGCATTTATTTCCTCACTAAGTAGGACAGAGAATTGACAATAGCACAAAAATAGGTTTATCTCTTATGCGCCACATTTAATTAAGAAAGTAACAACTAGGTTGCTTTGTAAACTTTGAAGAAATTAAATATGGCAATTTTTGTAGACATCCATTTACCTTGTGAGATAATGAAAGCACCATGTTTGCTAAAAATTCTGTCCTTTGCTAGTGAAACTGGAGTGACCTCTTCTGGGTGATGATCTATGGAGGCATTGCACTGCTCGGACAACATGCCCCGCACCCTCTAGTGTACAATGCATTACATTTGGAACCAGCTTGGCTGCAGGAGTTGCCTAAAAGTTGTCAGTGTTGACAGCCTTTGGGGCATCACTCCAGATTTTCTGTTTAGATTTACTTCCATAGCCTTTTCTACATTTGTTTGGATATGGCTGCAAGGCAGCAGAGGTTTAAAATATAGCAATACTTGCTAAACAAATGCCACAAAAGCATAAAAAGGAAAAATATTCATATTTTGACATATTTATTCTTGTCAGTTAAGCCTTTTTTCCAATTAAATCTTGATTGTTAATGTTTTTAACAAACCTGTACTGAAACATTTGCATAATATTTTATATTATGCAAAATTTGAAGTAAATTAATAAAAGATAGCATTAAGATATATTCTGCTTCAGTGATATGGCTGATTTGCCTTATCATAATTCAAGGTGACTTGGACAAGGGTGGGTGTGTGTGTGTATGTGTGTTCCTCTATAGAAAAGTGGAGCAGATCTAATAATTAACCAGAGAAGAAGAAAAAACGGTATTCTTATAAATGGGGTCATCAATCAAATGCCTGACAGCAACTATGCAACTACTTTCATCAAGGTGGTATCTGTGGCTAGTTCAGAAAGCAATCTGCTTTACCCCACAAGGTAAATTAAACAAGTTGCCAATAGAAGAGGCCCATCCATATAAACTAGGAAGGAAGTTTTGGGGTATTTTTGTGGGGTGGGGGTAGATGCAAGTTATTATCATTGCTTGCAAAATAAAGGTATCTTTTTGGTTTTTAACAGAAAGAATTAAGACCAACTAGTTGATAATAAACAAATGTAGAGAGATGATGTCCAAAGCAAATATCTACAACTTTCATCACAGCCCAACAAAAAGGTAACAGGAAAAAAAAATTGTTACATTCTCTTCTGATAGTAGCAGGCTAGGCAATAACCAAGCATTCAAATCACATAAAGCAACTAATATTTAGAAAACCACATTTCAGAAATTTACAAAATTTTCCTCTAGGATTTGAAGCAAACTAAAATTTGATTTTCTGTTCAATAAATAGTTAA